GCTGTTATTAACTCCAAGTCCCCAACAGAGGTAGGGTTTGCTGAAAGAGGCAGGTTAAAAGAGGCCTTATTTCCATGATCAATGGAAATGTCCTCCTTGCAAAATGAGGACACTTCTCCATGAAAAACCATACCAGGCTAAGAGTTCTTTTCAGATAACCTGAATAGATCACCAATATCCAGGTGGTTTCTTCTTTGTTTTTGCAGCCTACAACCAAAAGGAATAATTCAGCCATAATGTACTTTCTAAAGAGTAAGGCTTTCCAAAGATTTTGCAGCTTCTTAAGTCGCAAATTAAAGGTGCTCAAGGAAAGTACATCTGAATAGGTCCGATGCAAACTTGCAAACTCAAAGTCCGCAGTCATTTTTCATCTTTTGATGTCAGAGGTTGAAAGGAACTCACAATTCCTAGTTTTGTAAATCAAGCACTCTGCAAAAATCAATACTATGCACGATTGATAGGCTACTAATAGAAAACCAGAAAAAAAGAAACAGAAAAAGAAACACAACATAGAATTCACAATTCCTGCATTTTCAATAAACAGATTTACACGCCAAATCAAATGTTTTGGGGATCTTTGATTGTAGAATAGAATGTCAAACTTTGAACTTTACTAGATAAATGCATTTCTCAAACTTTCTTCAAATCTGCCATTAGGTGGCAATATTGTAACAGTTATTACTTGTGCTTGCCCCAGAAAGAGTTACTTGAAATACATTAATCATGTTTGTTGAGTCGAGAAAATTAAATCTGTTTCCTGATTGGCAAGTTATACAGGCACTTGTGTAGGTTTTGTGAATGAAGATAGACTACTGATTATTTGATTTTCAGATCAGTTGAAGTGAGAGATGATATTCAATTATGTAACACAAAGATTATTTTGAAACTACAAATTGAAAGTAACTGTGCTTGTTTTAATACCAGAAAATGCTTTGATTGAGTTCTGAGTTATAGCTGACTCAAATACGTATTATGTTTGTTAGCCTCATTCTAAAGCTTTTATTTGGTAAAAATCAAAACAGTGCTATTTATTAGAAAGGGCCTTTGAGCAAGGCAGTTTGAAGAACAAACTCTGTATTATTTTCACTACATTAAAGTAATCACTGTCATTTTCCCAGTTATAGAATTTGGGAGGGTGGTTTTGCATAAACATGAAAGCCTGAGATATTCCAAAGCAGTGATATACAGACTGAAATAACAAATAAAAATAATAACTTAAAGTAAGTATAAAAAGATTGATCATTTATTGAGAGATAAGAAGATATAGAAAAAGTAAAAAAGAAAATAAATCATATATGAGAATGCTTAAAGGTACAAATATGCAAAACATAAATTAATCGTAAGCATTCGTATTAAACTACTTGCACAATTTGTGACATCTAGGTAACTCCTGATTGGACAGAATTCATTGACTGTATCATCTGATATATTTGGTTAATACATTTTGTCCAAACTGTAAAATAAATGATATATCTATTGCAAAACAGGAACTTAACTATATCATAAAAGGAGGATGTACTACTAGGACTCTAGTTGGACTACAATTTGGACTACTTGGACTCCAGCTTCGGTAGTAGTTATAGTGCCTAGATTGATCATTTAAATGTAAAAGAAAAATTGTGAGTGGGGAAATGTAATAAGGTATGAGACAGAGGTAACACATGGCAATCTTTCATAAAGAATGATGTATGTAAAAATATTTGTATTACAAGTACACTCCACATGCACCATAGCATCCTATGGTATTTTCAAAGGTAATGGTACAAGGAGGGCCCTTCAATAACTGATGTGATCTTCAAACATCAATACAGCTGCAAGCCCACACGTTCACTTAGATACATCGTAGAAAGAAGTTTATAATTTACTCTGCCCATCCATGTACTTCCACAACATGTCTGCTATCCTTACCTTCTCTAGCAGTATCATTTATAAATTGTATGCAAGTTTTAATGGAGCTAGCAATACGATAAAATCAGCTGCAACATAGCTGCATTCAGCTAGGACACAGGCCCTCCTTTGTGTGTGTTTGTATGTATGTGTATGTGACTGTGTGTTTGTGTCTGCATGTGAGAGCATTTGTGTGTGCATGCGAGCATCTATGTTTGTATATCCAAGTTTGTCTGTGTGTGCTAGCATCTCACTGTATGTGTATGTGAGCATCCATGTTTGTGTGTGAGCATCTATGTTCATGTTAGCTAACATATCATTGCATGTATCTATAGCTCATTTGTGTTTATGCACACATCTTTTTGTGCATGTGTTTGCAATGGGCTGATCAACATATCCTGCAAAGGCTTGCTATGCCTAGGCCTCTTCCTAGGGTGGAACGCTAGTGAGAGCAACAGAGCAGCTGCTTGTTTCCCTTTAAGGAGAACATGCCTGCCTCCCCATAGTGACATTTCATCTAATTCTCCATATAACAAAGGCCTGTCAAGCTGTAGATCGGTAGAGAGAAAATTGAATGGCGTTTGCGCTTAGCTCTCATGTACACACTGATATGCAGCAGAAATAAACCCTTTAATTCACACCTTCTGACTCAAATTCACACAAATACTACCCCATATTCACATCTTCCCCCATACTAAAAGTCCTGTCATTGCAGAACTTTTGCTTTTATATCTAAGTCCTCTATTATTTATTAGAACATTGCTAGGTGTTGTCACATTTCTCAGTCCTTCCTTTGTGGGGGCAGGCTAAAAGACGTGCATCACACATTTTTTCTTAAAGTACCACTGAAGTCACACAGACTATTTCATCTCCACGAAGTGGTTTGGATGCAGCGGTCCTGTCATTTTATCCCTGCAATGAAAAACATTGCCATTTTTTTTAGAAGCATCAATGTTTACATTAAATAGTTAAATACATCTCTAGTGACTGTCTTCCTGACAGCAACTAAAGGTGTTTCCTCTTTCAGAACCGAGTCAGGCTCGATCCTGATGTTTTGCTGTTCATAGCAGCATTTGATTGGAGGAGCATGGGGTTTGGCCATGCATGCATATCTCCAATCCAGTGCCTCTCTATGATGAGATTGTGTAAGACGTCAGCAGGCATGCTGGCGTCTTCACAGATGGAGCAGGCAGCTGCAGTGGAGTAGTTTCAGTGCTGGAATTGAGGTGAGTATATTTTCTGACTATAATTTTAATCAGCAAAGGCAGGTGGTCAGTGGGCACAGTGATAGAAGGTGACCTGTAGTCATAGAAAAACTATAGTTACTTTGACACCTGGTGGCTGATCAACAGCAGTAAAAATGCTGCTTAATAAAAAAATAAAAATACATGGTTCAGAGTGCCCTCGTGCTTTCTGCCTCTGGATTAGCCATTGTGTGAAATGCCATATCTTTTCTCTCTCTATGGTAATACATAGCTAACCTTGTCACTCTATAAGTATATGATATTAAAACGATAGCATCATGCATACCAGTGCGTATTCCTAGCGCTATAGCGTCCTAGTAACAGTTTAGGTGACTGGGCCCCCGCTGCCAGGGTTAAAAAGGTATTTTAATATTCACCATCTCTCCCGAATGACAGATGGGAAGGGATGCACAGAGCACCCCCTTCCTGTATTGATACTCACTGCAGCTTGGCCACGTGGGACAGCAGTAGAGAATCTTCATATTCTTAATTTTACTCTGCCCAGTAACAGGAGCTGCCTGCAGTCTACAGTGAGTGGAGAGAATGGGGATATGACTGAACATCAGATCATAAGACTGCCTCTCTGACTTCTCTCTGGACAGTACTTGGAGCTCTGTGTAAAAAACAAATTCGGGACACCCACAAAACATGCCTTTCCAAGTAGTGGTGCTGCCGTACGGACCACAATGTATGCAGAATACAGATCAAGGAACAGCGCACACACAAAAATACAGTTTTTAAAAAACATAAGGCTACTTAATATCACCTGTCTCAGCAAACAAATATGTGGATTCAGTTTCACCATTTGGTCATATTGTGTTAAGCCCACCAATATGTCACAGTACCCCAATATTAACTAACCTGGAAGTGACCACAGGAAAGTTTAATTAGAGATGGTTTCGGATAGCAATGTCACTTTAATAATATTTATTTTATATGCACTGTGAGTATGTGCATATTAGTACTAGCATTTAAATTTTTTTAGTTAAGGCACTGTATTTTTTTTAATTGCGTTTATCACATTTTCCATGATATATATTCCTAATGCTCTTACAACAGATTCATTAAATACACTTTTAGTTTGTTATATTCATTTATCACTAGCACTACTGAAGTTATTGTTTGTTTCCCATGTTAAAATGAGTGTAAGACCCAATTATCCTGGAATACTGTGACATAGTGGTGGGCTTAACACGATATGGCCCTAATTGTTTGTTGAGATAGGTGATTTTAAGTAGCCTTATAAAATTTTAAACGGTATTTGTGTACGCGCAGTTCCTTAGTCTGAATTTTGAAACTCTGTGTAAGGCCTGGTGGAGGAATATAAAGACAGGACATATTTACATTTCAGGTGTCTGTAGGCAAGAAAGACAGATAAAGCTTCATCATTTTATTAACTGGCCATTGTAAGCATAGTATATCTATCTATAAATGTATATAACAGTGGAGGAACTACTGACAGCTGGTGTGGCTACACTAGTGCCTGCAGATTTTGGTAGCCCATACACAGTGCAAACACAATAGGTAGACTGACAGGGGTCCAGCCAGGTTCTGTGGCCCTTTACCAGCATGAATGGTACCCTTTAATGTCGACACCCAGAGCTGGGAGGAAGTGATTTCCTATCACTTCCTCCCAGCCTACAGAATGCGCAGAGTCTGGGGGAATGGAGGAGGAACAGACTCAGACTCCTATCATCCTCAACCAGCCAAGAAAGCCACCTACCTGCATCCTAAAGGTATGAAAGCATTGGGATGGCTAGAAAATATCTAAATTGTTTATCTCTGTGTGTGTGTATCTGTTTGTGTGTGTGCCAGTGTATCTGTGTGAGTATGCATGGGTATATATGTGTGTGTCTGTGTTTGTCAGTGTGCGTATATGTGTACATGTGTATATGTGGGTGTGTCAGTGTGGGTATATAGGTGTGGCAATGTGCATGTGTATCTATGCGTGTCAAAGTGTATATTTATCTGTGTGTGTTTAGCCGCACATCTGTATGTGTGCATACATTCCAGCATTCAACTTCAACACTACATACAAACATACCCCTTAAATTAAATTCCAACTCTTCATGCAATCAGACACCAACACTACATGCAAACACACCCCTGCATTCAAACGCCAATACTACAAACAAGCACACAGTTGCTATGAAACACCAACACTACATACAAACATGCCCCTGTATTAAAAGGCCAACACTGTATACAAACACACCCTTACATTTAAACACGACAACTACACACAAATAATCCCCTTCATTCAAGCACCAACACCCCTACAAACACATCCCTGCATTCAAGCACACTACACATGCCACTGCTTTCAAGTGGCAACAGTACATACAAACACACAACTGCATTTAAATGCCAATACAAAAAGATCCCTACATTCACACACACACAAATGTTTCTAGGATGGTCAAATGGTAGATTCCCAGCTGGCAATGTATCCTGGTAAATCCTTGCCCATCCTTGCACTGGGGGAGCCCAAACAAATTTCTTGCACCAGGGCACTCTCTACGTTAGTTCAGCCACTGGTATAAAATCAAATATTTCTACTTGCAATGTACTGTGTTTGAATCTGTGAGTATAGTGAGCATATGCAGATCAAACAGGGTTAAAAATAATGTTAGAAGTGGTTATGGTAAAGCGGGAGTAAGTTTAGAAAGAGGTTAATGTTAGAGTTAGAGGTTGGGAAGTTTATTTACTGTTAAGGGACTAGACGCATGAGAGGGATTAGTTGTAGTACATGGGGTGAGAAGGTACACCTAGGAATAAAAGTTTTTTTTTTTTTTAGCTTTATGCTTGTAGTGTTTAAAAAAGTTTGTTTAGGGAGGGGTTAAATTAAGGGTTAGGAAAAAGGGTTGTTATGGTACATGTATATGGAGCTTCAACTGTTATCATACCTTTCAACATTTTAAATGGCAAAGATGGACACGTTCATTTTAAGAATGTGGTTGTGGGTGTAAGCTGACTTACTAATAATGTATGCACCACAATGTAATGTAAAACAAAAACAAAAATGTATTTTATTTACAAAAACTAATTTCTGTTATACACTTACAAACAGCTAAATTATAAAGCTCCTAGAAAAGTGGGACATTAGAATCGAAACGTGGGACAGGAGGATTTGGAGGGACTGTCCCTCCAAAACAGGTACACTTAGGAGGTATGTTATTTGCAATATACTACCATCCTATGATTGATAGTAGAGCTGCATGAGTTGTTACACTCAATGCTGTCCTATTACATACTGTATGCATCACTCAATGCTGTTCTTGCTCCTCCTGTAAGACATTAGCGGGCCGATGGAAACAATTCCTTCAGCTTCCTGTCCAGCCTCACACAGACATTAATTGTAGGAGCTGGGACAATACTGAGCTTCACATCTCCTATAACTGTTCCTGTCTCTATTTTGCACATTACATGGCTGGATACTTTTCAGGCAGACCTCATGTATATAAATATGTAAAGAGGTAAGAGTTTTATGAGACACGCAAAAGTATAAAGGCAGCTTAAGAGTCACAACAGAGGGGTCAGGAGGAACACACAAAGGGGTAAGGGTGTGTGGAGAAACAATATTTTACAATTTGGGAGGGGGAGAAGGGTACCTACTTACAATATGCCTTAGACCACAAGAAGATGCGGCCCCTACCCAGTTCAGCGGAGCACCATTGCTTCCACCCAAGCAGAGGTAAAATGGACCTCACCACATCACAGATGCTCTAGAAGGGAAAAGCAGCCCAACTAAAACCTGCCTGCACTCCCATCCTCCATCTCTGTATTAGCCTGGAGCGACACACTATCGCAGGAAAGGGAAATGGACATAACTCTCACTCAACAGAGCAGTAATACTGCCAGGCCAAAGTAACCGACAGCTACTACAGGAGAGTACAAAAACTAAAGCGGGACTTGACTAAGCAGACTTTGCACCGGACAACTAACCACCACAACTAAGGAGAGGCGAAACTCAGAGGCCACTCTCTCCTATCACAAAAAGTATTCACTTAGTTGCACTCACTACAGCCCCTATCCAGCACCTATCCCACACCCCATCATACACTATAGCTAGATACCACACCACACATGAACTACAATCCCTATACACACAAACACACACACAAGCCCCTTACACACACACACACACACACCCACCCACACCATTCCCCACACAAAATACCGGCCCTATGCCCACACAGCAACTGCTGCCCCTGTATAAACATATTATACCCTTAAACAGAAACACACATACTACTTTCCTTACATTCACATGCTCTACCCTGAGACACACGTACTCAAAAACTACAGTCCAAATACATACATACACACAATATCTGCAGTCCCTAGATATATACACACTATAGTCAATAGCCATACATACTACACTTGAAACAGAACTCTTCACACACAGAACAAAGTAAACACATCTCACAAACAGACTCCAAACACATACAACACCATAGACCATGGTTGTCAAACATGCGGCCCCCCAGATGTTGCTGAACTACAACTCCCATGATTCTTTCAATGAAACAGATAGCCAGGGAATCATGGGAGTTGTAGTTCAGCAACATCTGGGGGGCCGCATGTTTGACAACCCTGCCATAGACAGTCTACCCACACATGAAGCACATTTTCTCTGTGTCATATCCCACATTTGTAATTTGGTATTCCAGTTATGGAGGCCACATAAACAAGTCAACAGCAAATACAGAACAAGGGTCTCATTACATTTGATATAGATAGATAGACACAAATATAGATAAACAGACAGACAGGTAGACAAGCAGAATGACAAAAACAGACATTCATACACAAATACAGAGAGACAAACATGCAGCTTTTTGACAAAGGCAGAGAGTCAGATGGGGAATGGTTTTTTTTTTGTTTGTTTTTTTAAATATATATATAAAAAAAAAATTTTGGAAATATTTCCCAGAATAATTTAATAAACATTGTTTTTAGTCAAATGAATTGAATTTTTATTCCAATAACTTCCTATATTAAGAAATATGGTTTGCACTTTAATTTGCCTCTTTTCTTTCTCTAAACTGGTAAAACATGTGCATTTACAACACCCACAAGAATTTAATATATATCTTTCTATTCTAACACGCTTCACTTAAGCCACTTACACATTTTTTTCCCTGACAAATAAGAAGAAATTTTACTCCTTCGCAGAGATAATTAGCTGTGAACAAATCTCCATTGCGTGCCTATTTAGTAGTGTATCAGATAACTCCCATATTGTAAGTGATGGTGCTACAGATGGATAATACCTAGAATGTATGAAAAGAAAAAAAAGAGCAGTGTATTCCCAAAACCGACTCCGAGAACACCCAGGTAGTGAAAATATCATATGATCTGGGTGGGAGAGAGGAATTGGTAATAACAGAGTGCAGCTAATTTCAGCAATAATTAGTGTTATTTTAGCAAGCCGTTTCAAACAACCCTTCTATCTTCTATTCATAACTTCTGTGTTTGCCTTTTTTTTCCTGTCCACAAGTTTAGGATTTGAGTATTCCGTAACGTATTCTATTATTTAATTGTAGTACAGTGTGTTTTAAGGATATAGAAAACTCGTTTTGATTAATGAAGTCATGTATTGATTTGTTCGCTAAAATAGCAAATAGCAGCACCCAGTGTCTCTTGGAAATGCCTGCCAGACAATTCTAGATTTCAAAGGACAGTTCAGCCCAACAGTGTCTTATCCTGTGTCATCGAGTTTACTGTTTGAAATGTCTTATTGGTGCTGACAATTTAATAAATTTTCTTCTAATTTTATCTAATCCCATATTGTACATTCTGTGTTATGTTAAAATAACGCAATTAAGGGATTCTGGAGACATCAGAATAAGCTACAAGACCACAGGTTGAGTGGCTTAAAAATGACTCCAGAACCCCGAGATAGTTTTATTTTCTCCTAATGCACACTTCACAGTTATGTATCTCTTATATTACACAATTTTTTGTTCTACAGTTAGAGTTAGTGTTAATGTGATGTAGGGGTTACTGAATAGTGTTAGCGTATTGTTGGGGTTATCTCCAAAATGAACGGAGTGGTTATGACTGCTACCTGTGCCTATAGTGGAGCGCTTAAAAAAGAAAGAAACACATACACACTTACACTTATACAATAATGGAAATGGTGTACAGGAGTATTAGACAAAAAGGAAATCAATATAGTGTAGTTTAATAAATGCTATGAAGTGTATATAAACATTTGTGGTACACACTCACATTGAACAGAGCCACTTAGCTCAGATCTCTCAAGCAGATGTGTATGTAAGGGACACTGGGCCTCTTCTTATCTGTGTCCAAGTTGGCTCAAGGGAGAGAACAGAAAGACAAAAGCAGAAACTTCAAGTGTAAGAATTCTAAAGTGCAGGTAAATGATATACAAATGAATATTGCTCATTGCTCTGTGTCTTTATATTGAGACACAGGCCCTGGCTGAATATGGAAGCAGATGAAAAGTTGGAGTCCACCAGATGAATATGAAGTTATGGTTATTTGAAGGGAAAATATAAATTTATTAAAACATATTTAAAACACATCAAGTAAAAAGATAAATACAATACAATAAAATTCTCATGTGTTTCTTCCTTCGGAAGGAGGATTCAAAGTGAATTTCACATTTAAGTGCAATGTGTCCAAACTGGAGAAATTGAAGATTATGCTAGCGCAGTGCACTAATAATCTTAATTTTAATAATGACAGGAGGCGAGTATTTGCATAAACTTTCTTTACTAGCTCCATAGCAGCAAAGAAAAAAACCATTAAAGAAAGAACCAATCAGAGTAGAACAGAGGATATATAAGTCCCAGCGTAGCCAATCATTTCCTCTTGACTACTGCGACATCACAAGATCCAAACGTAGTAATAAGTCTTTAGTAACTTTATTCCAACTGTCATAACGAAATCCAACATGGTCATAACAATGGCCTCTTCAGCCTTCCCATCATCCTTGTGGTTTGTCAAACTGAAAAGAGAGAGAGAGTAGTATCAATGATACGGGACTGACCAAAGAAAACCAATTATCTGTAACGAATCAACTAGTCAATAAAGACATCTTAAAATTCACCATACCAACTAGTCTAATAGCTTATAATAAATATAACAGCATAATATGCTAATTCAAGTAAGTAAGTCCAGATATACAACCAATCTACTCACACCAA